CCCCCCCCCCCTTAAGAGAAACTTGTTTTTTAACCCATTAAGCTGCAGAGCTACCCAATTCACGGGTAAAATCGTCTGGCGTTAGACAAGTAAAAAAAATAAGTAGAGCGCATTGTGGCTCAACGGATTAATAAAGAGATGGGAAATTATGATTTATTCTGTGTTGGTGTAATGTACTCAGGTGAATATGATGCTTGTGATATTACTCTGAGTGTATATCCACACCGGACAAGCTTAAAAAATATGCCTGACCACGGTGGGAATCGAACCTACGGCCTCTGGAATACCAGCCCAATGCTCTGCCAACTGAGCTACGCGGTTTGGTCGGTTCGAGTATGTGATATTTCGGAACAGAATCTAGTTCCTTCGATATCAATGTAATCTAATAATCATGACTTATTTTGTGTTGGTGTAATGTACTCAGGTGAATATGATGCTTGTGATGTTACTCTGAGTGTATATCCACACCGGGTGTAAAATAAAACATTCATTCAAGATGGCTGACAATCACAACACAGAACGATTTTAATTATTCAAACATCAATATGTTACAAATATACTCACCCGGGTGGGCCGAGTATGCTTATGCTAATTATGATATCACATCTTTCCATTTTTAATAATAGCCTAAATTCTAAATAAATTAAAGTTCAAGTTGCTAAGACAATTAAAAAATGTTAAATGTTCTAGATAAAGCAAAGTTCAATATAAAACATAAAAATATAAGTTCATTAAACTTATAAAGTCCAAATAACTGATATTAATGTCAAATAGTGTTTCTAACTTTACCACCCAAATCGTTTGGGTTTCACCACTAATCGACCACTTCTGGTAACGTACGAGCTGGTGATCTCGGCTGGTGTTCCAGGTGGTGAGAACTTTTCTGGTAAGGGTAAGGGTAAAGGATCTGGATTCACGGTCAATGAAGCAGTGAATTGGTCGGGACCAACGGATAGTGAATCTGCATTCTCGGGAGATGACATTTCTTTGTCAACTGCTGGAGCTATGGTTTGGTCATCGCTGTCAGATCCAAGAGCTGGACAAACTCTTAAATGCTGTCGATTGCGGCGATAATTTCTTCCGTCCTCGGTTTGCACCACATATGATCTTGGCGTATGATGATGCCTCACTAACGTCGCTGGTTTCCATTCTTTGGAATACGTCCACGGTTCTAACCGAACTTTAGCTCCAGGCTGAAGTTCTTTCAGCTCCTTACTTGCATGCTTGTCGTGGTACTTCTTCTGGTCTTCTTTTATGACTTTTGTCTTCATTAAATATTTGGAAATACGTTGTGGGCTGTTGTTAGCTGGTTGAAGTAAACTTTCCATCACAGGCAGGTCATTTCGCAATGGACATCCCATAAGTAGTTGGGCAGGAGACAGTTCGATGTTAGGTAACGGCGTTGTTCGATAGTGAAGTAGGGCCAGGTATTTATCATTACCCCTTCGCCACAAATTCTTAATAGTTTGGATAGCTCTTACTGCTTCTCCGTTTGCTCTCAGGAAGTGAGGTGAGCTGGTGGTATGTTTAAAACCATACTCCTTTGCGAATTGTTGGAACTCATGACTACTGTATTGGGGCCCATTATCAGAAATGACCTCGGCTGGAATTCCATAGACACAGAATTGGGGCTTAAGCTCGTCTACGACAGCGCTACTTCTTGTCCATTCCATCTTGGTAACTCTGGAAACTTACTACGGTAACACACAGAAACCAAAAAATGTTCTCCACGAAATTCAAACAGGTCGGTTCCTATCTTTTCTTACGGAAACTTTGGAGGAACGATTGGTTTCAAAGGTTCTGAAGGTTGCTTATTCGCATAATCTGCACACGCGCTACAATTGGTAAACATTTCTTCAATGTGTACTGACATGCCAGGCCTAAACAATACATCTCTGGCTCTTTGTCTGCATTTGACTATCCCCAAATGACTCTTGTGGATTTGACAAAGCATATCTGATCTAAGAACTCTTGGCACGATTAGGCGTGTTCCTTTGAAGAGCAACCCATCTGCTGTTACAACTTCATCTCTGAAGGTCCAGTAAGGTCTGGCTTCAACGGGAACTTGTTGTTTCGTGTCAGGCCAACCACTCTTCACTAACGTAAGGACTGCTTGTAGCTCTGGATCGGTTTTAGTCTCCTTCTGGAATTCCTTATATCGCTCGTCAGAAACTGCAAGAACCATATGAACTTCCTGGAATTCTTTGTAATTCTCCTGTTCAGTATTTGGCAACGATGCTCGACTCAGAGTGTCACCTAAATAGAACTTGCCTAAATAGAGGTGGCCCACACATTTAAATAGAAATAGGCCTACTTTGGGGGCTAAGATCGCCGTTATTATGTGCAACATTGTGCGACATTAGGCGACATTGGCAATTTTCAAAGAAAAGTAGTGTGCGTCGCTGGGCGAAATTGAGTGACATTAGGTGACATTAGGCGAAATTGGACAAAACTGAACAGTAATATCCAGATTAATATCCATTCACAAATTATGCATCTACATAGAAAATACAACTGACAGTAAATATCAAAATATAATTTAGTTATCAAAAATTGGTTCCTGTGGCAAAGAACACAATTAGTTTATTACAAATAGCAAAAATAACAAGGAACATTTCTCTAATACATGAGTCAATTCCAGGAGTAATCACCCCCCCCCCTCCCCCCGGGAACACACCCGGGCATTTAATTTGATTGGTTATGATAGTGTAAATGCCCGGGTGCCGGGACACAACTTGAAGACTAATGCGCGGCCCCTGGGCAAGCTGAGAGTGGAAAATGCCCCACCCCGGGGACGATTTTACAGTCGATTTCACGAAACTTTGACCACAAATGTTCCAAACTTCGTTGCTAAGTTCGCAAGTTCATTGCGAAGTTCGGAAGTTCATATTAGAATTCACAAGCCAATTTGTAAACAAAGTCCCTGATTGGTCCGTGAAGTAAAAGAAGCCGCATGGCAGATGCGCAGTTTACGAACTGGTTTGTGAATCTCATTATGAACTTTTGAACTTCGCAACAATCTTGTGGACTTTGCAACGAAGTTCGGAATATTTGTGGTCAAAGTTTCGTGAAATCGACTGTAAAGGTTAATTAAACTTTTAATGGCATATACTTATAGTCATTTAATAACATTATAGTATTAAACTGCTTTGGAATATTATAAAACATAAACCTTTAATAATTGTATTTAAATTTGCATGGCACAGGGTATAATTTTCGCTTATTCTTACAATAAATTTCACACCACCTTGACCACGAGGGCGCAAAATACGATCAGCGCGCCCACATGCTTGCCTGAAACTATGTTTTGCTGCCTTAAAATTTGTGGGTGGGATTCTGGGCAACCATTTGTCAAATTCCCGGGGTCCTCCAATACCCAGCCCCCGTGCACATATATGAAAGGCAAATTCCCGACACCCGTGAACTGTCTATCGGGCAAATTCCGGGGGGTGTATATATAATATATATATATATATATATAATATATATATATATATATATATATATATATATATATATATATATATATATATATATATATATATATATATATAAACTACCGATGGTACAGTTTCGGCCTTTAGGATACCTAGTGTACTTCACTAGGCTAGTGAGAGGTATTCTGTACTTTTGCACTCACCAATTATCATGAATGTATCTTTGATAATAAGATCTAAGTTTGATTTCATATACAACATTTAATGGCGTGTGATTGAGTAATTTGACTGAGTTTCACAAAGGTTTACACATTGGAGAAGATAGCCAGAAGGCTGCCTTAACAACATAATTTAAGTAATTCTCATTGGAATAATGTGTTGTAATTCATATACATATAAACGCCAAATAACCAAGCCTCGTTAATACTGGTGAGAGATGGTGCCCTAACAGCACATGCCCTTGGTGTTTGTGTACATGTATTTATGAAAAAAAGAACATGCAGGAAACTAACAAATAAATAAGGAATAGACTATAGTATGGACGACAAACTCAAAGTGCAAAATTGGGCATGCTTGTGTGTGATTACGCAGCATTTGGGACCGGTCATTATTTGTGGAAGGGGGGGAGGGAAAAAATAAGTGGGGGGCCATATGTATAAATAAATGACAAGAAGGGGGGAGGGCTATTAAATTTTTTCAAGAAAATCATGGGGGGGGTTGCAATTAAATTTGAAGGAATTTGCTTAATAACCTGGTATCCATTTGGTTGTAAATGTTGCAACTAAATCATGGTCACTGATGTGAAATAGTCTGGATTCATCTTGTCTTGTGTGTGCTGTATGCAAATCAGATTTACGGTTTGCAGACTAGTTAAATTGACAATGTATTATTACATCAGCTCTTGATGTGGTTAAATACATTTAAATTAAGCAAGGTTAACGGCGGATGTATTATGCAGGCCATGCACATCCACTGAGGGGAGTCTGTGACGTCATATCAATCAAAGGGGGTTGTTTCATGCCTTGTGATCAGTGCTTCGGTCTGGGTATTCATTCTGCCATTGTATGCTTTGCCTAGCTGCAGCAAATTTTGCGCTTCGATACCTTTTCCCCACCCACCCACCCATGTTCATTCTAAATGATTTTATCTGGTAGCTAGTATATGTCATTTTATTTTATATAATTTTTAATCTCACAGAAAATAGGATGTATAGACCACTATACATTGTGTTTCACAGGTATGCCTTGGCAGAATTGTTATTGCTATCTCCTTTTGCTGCTAATATTACTGATTGTTGCTCTCATTGTTGCTGCGCAGCTGCTATGGCAATACTTCATACCATCAAGTCTAGTTGCAGCCTGATAGCAGCAACAAAGTGGTGATAGCAGCTTATCCGGGTAACAAAAATTTGTGCCCGGTGCAACACTTGAGGTCCTATTTGGAAAAAACATCAACATTGAGAGGTAAACATACCCAATTGTTTGTGAGCATCCGGAAACCACACATTCCACAGTTTCAACTGACACTCTTGCGAGGTGGATTAAAACTGTTATGCACAAAGCTGGAATAAACACAGAGATATATGGTGCTCATAGCACCAGGGCGGCTTCCACTTCAGCAGCACATAGGAAGCATATTGATACCAACAAAATCCTTGCTGCCGCAGAGTGGACTAATGAAACCACCTTTAGTAAGTTCTACAACAAAACTATTGTAGATATGACAAAGAACTATGGCGAAGACCTATTGTCTGCCATCATGAGTTAAAACTCTTGAACTAACTCCGTAACTGTATATTTGGACTGTTTACTGATTTAATATTTTCACTATATATCATTCACATTGATTGAGCTTCACTGTTGTGATTTTGCTTCTATGGGTCATGACGCTTTGAAGTCTCACGTGATTCCTTAGCGAAAATAACCAATCATGAAGTAGAATTGAAAGTTAAACGAGACTTACCTGTAAGTTGAAGTTTGACGTAGATTCTACAAAATATTGGTTATTGAGCTAAGGAGTCAACCTTCCCTCCCAGTGTTGGGATATGACCTACACATTGTATTGCACAATTTCCCTCCCAGGTTGTGATGTCATGACCCTTCTGCTTTGAAGTGTGATCTAGCTTGCTTCGCGCGCATATATCTCACGTGACTCCTTAGCTCAATAACCAATATTTCGTATAATATACGTCAAACTTCAACTTACAGGTAAGTCTCGTTTAACTTTCAATTATATTTAAAATTTTGTTCTGTCAGCAACACTTTCCATATTCAAATGGCAATTGAAAAGTGTTTTCTAATTCTTCCACTGGCAGCGACACGTTATAATTGACGAATATAAAACATATTCCGTGTTGATATACAGTAATATCAACACGAGTGGGAATTGGGAAAACGAGAAATTGTGTGAAAACACGACGCCCGAAGGGCGGAATGGTTTCACACAATTTCGAGTTTTTCCAATTTCATTTTCCCATTTTCACTGCAAATTCTTTTGTGGTTCGTTACAAACTTTTCTGAACAATATATGTTCGGAATGAATATGTTTTTTTTCGCTGTTGTTTCCGTATTAATTCTTTCAAAAACTTGTATTTAAACTAATTTCTGTGTAATAAAGATATTTTGCTAACCTGTCAAATTCTTTGAGAGTTTTTTCTTGTACTATTATTTTTCTCAAAGCAAATACTTTCCTTTTTTTCTGCTTTGTAAAACTCATGTAGTTTTTGGACTGCCACCTTGTATACGTATATATATATATATGCCACCTTGTATACGTATACTTGCTACGTATATGAGCTGATATACGGAGAGTAATTCAATCAATCAGATTACAGAACAGCTCGTATACGTGAATAACTATATTATGATATAAATTTACTCCGCAACTGCCATATAACTCAACAGAGTACACGATATTGCGATGCGCAGTCAATACTCTGAATTCGCGTAGATAGAACACGTTTATTTGATGATGAACTAAGTTGCTTTTCCTAACTCGTGGGCTAGTTTTCATTGCAATTACAAAGAGGTAGTAAATATACCAGTATTTAAGAATTAAGGTTTTGGTTTCTCTTGGCGGAACCGTGGCCAAGGAGGGTCCGTGCGGGAGGTTTTGTTCGTTAGTCACCACCAGAAGAGCTCTTGTGGGAGAGGATGCTAATGTCTGGGATATCCATAATTTATTCTTTTCTAAGGTCATATATATTTTTTCCCAGAATACATACCATGCTGTCTTTGAGACACTAAAGATTTTTTTTTCTAGAATAGCATAATCCTGAGTCTCCTATTGTCCCTTCGTCATCGGCGCTTAGGCTTTCAATTTTTGTATGCTTTTCTGCCTCTGCTCCACCAGCCAAAGCCCAGACACTAGTTAATTATATCAAACTGATTGTTGTAAACATCAAGACTCTGAGGGCTGAATCAAGTTATTAATTTGGCCGGCACCAATTTACTTGGGAAAGCGCAAAGAAGCATCAGAGTTGGACTTACTTATTAAAAATCGGTATACTTAAGAGTTATATTTTAGAATTATTGTTCTTTGAGCAACCTTTTGCATACTCGATTTGATCAATGGAAAGTGTATTCTAATTCTTCACCTCCTATAGCGCACGTTTTCTAACAACTGTAATTAATTTTTTAACAACTTGTAATTAATTTTAACAACACAACACATTTTAATTACACGTTTTTTAACAACTTGTGATTAATTTTTTTAGCGACTGTTATTTATCCCGACGCAGAAGAGTACATTTGGATGCGCAATCATGGTTTCTGAATTCGCTGAAATAAAACATGCTTCAGAATGGGCTGCGTCGCTTCTCTATACTTTTCAGCA